TTAATCCCCATACATTACATCATTAGTTTTAGATGAAGTGTTCCATGATTCATTGTTTGTGCATAACACCCAGTGCTCCATGCAGAATGTGCCCTCCTCAGTACCCACCACCAGGCTAACCCATCCTCCCACCCCCCTCCCCTCTAGAACCCTCTGAGCGCCATCTTAAAACCCAATATATCAACATCTCTGAGAGTAGGGGCTTGTAAGAGCTAACTTTTAAGAGCTCCTAAGTTGATCCTGATGATTTGCCAGGTTTGGAAACTACTGCATTTCCTCGTAGAATGAGGCCTTATAATAGAGAATTTCTCTAAGACCTCAGTACCAGGAAAAAGCTGTACATCTCCTGAGCATGTGATTTGATTCTTATGTTAACACAGTCAGCCTTTTTACTGACTGTGTTTCCCTTTTGTTTTTGTAGTCCAACTTTAGCAGCAGCATAGCACGTCATAACAAGCATTTGTTCATTTGTACTAAACTTATTCTTGGTTTTATTTTCCTGCCCTTATTTTTCCTTTATACCGGTATTCTTACAAACCGTTATCTGTTTATAAGCTCTCCGATGGCATTTTTGTAACATCTATGTTGCTTCTGTAGGATAGAAACCTATTTGATCTTCTGGAGGAGCTAGATCAACCTGCTGATTTAGTAAAGCTTTGAAAACCCTTTGTGGGGCAAAAAAATCCCATTTTACTTGAGGGAGCATTCTGTATTACCATACTACTGCTGTGTAGGAACAGGCATCTTCTTTAATTATGGCATCACAGTTCTAGGGTATGAATCCAAGATCACTGTTGAAACTCACATCATGTATTTGGCCCTGATTAGGGAATTGATAAAATTGAATAGATGGTAGTATAATTCGATAGACATAATTTTTCCACATTTTTCTCTTGCCTGGTTTTTAAAAATTTTTAAGTTTTTTCTGTTTTTGAAATGTTGAATTCAAAAGTTTATTTCCCCAAGGTCTTTTAGGTAGGTTAAATACACAGTATTATTTTGAAGAAATAAAATTATGTGTTTAATTGTTTTTCTTTTCTTTTTTTTTTTTTTTTTTACAGCCTTGTCATGTAATTTACACAGATTATCGGCCCACTCCATTGCAGCACTACATTTTTCCAGCAGGGGGAGATGGCCTGCACCTTGTGGTTGATGAAAATGTAAGGGAGTAATTGTGATTATTTATTCATTTTTGTTTTATGTTATGTTACTTACCATATAGTACTTCATTTGTTTTTGATGTAGTGTTCCATGGTTCATTATTTGCGTATAACACCCAGTGCTCATTGTAATACGTGCCCTCCTTAATAGCCATCACCGGGACTAACTGTGGTTCTTACCTTATAATGTCATCCTTAGTTGTTCATACCTATTTTTCCTGAAACTGAAGTAGAATGGTAGAAGTCCATTTTTTTTCTTAAGTAGTTTTATGGTCCAGAATTATTGGGCTTGTGTGTATTTTTATTTCAGAAATTATATTTAAGACTTGTGTTTTTCTTATGCATAAATTAAGATTTTTCTTCTTTCCCAGTTTTTTTTTTTTTCCTTCTTCTTTTCTAGTGTTTTAAAATGCCTGAAGAATAGGTACTTGGGACATGTTTCAGATATCTTATGTTTTGCTTTTCCCAGTTTTAATATCTCTACCTTTTATTACCTATTATACACATTTTTTAACTATTTCAGTGACCTTTGTAACAATTATCACATTATTTTTATTTTGAGGAAGCTTTGTTTTGAGGTATGAAAAATGTTTGGATTGTGGTTAAATATTAGGTTACATAGAAAAATATCTGATTCCAGGGTGACTTCAGAGAAGATAATTTTAATACTGCAATGCAAGTACTTCGAGATGCTGGTGATTTGGCAAAAGGAGATCAGAAGGGGCGGAAAGGAGGAACAAAAGGTAATGTGGAACTTTGTTCACTTTTCCCCTCAAGAAGGTATATAAAGCTCTAGATAATATAAGATAAAATTGGATAAATAAAGGTTTATTTCTTTTTCATATATGACGTTGGTTGAGATATAATTCATGTACTATACAATTTATCCATTAAAGTATACAATTTAATGGTTATTACTATATTAACAGAATTATGCAACCATCACAATTTTTTTTGAGATATAATTCATATACCATAAAAATTACCATTTTAAGTGTATAATTCAGTGTATTTTAGTGTATTCCACAAACTTGTGCAACTACTCTCTAATTCCAGAACATTTGCATCAACTCAAAAAGAAATCCTTTACCCACTAGCAGTTAGTCTTCATTTCTCCTAACCTCTTCCCCTGCCCCTCAGCCTTATACAATCACTAATCTACCTTCTGTCTCTATTTTCCTTTCATATAAATGGAATCATAATTTGTGTGGTCTTTAGCAACTGGCTTCTTTCACTTAGCATGTTTTCAGGGTTCATCCATGTTAAAGCATGTGTTAGTACTTAATTCCTTTCATAATCAAATAATGTTCTATTAAATGAATGTATCACATTTATCCATTCATCAGTTATTGAACATTTGGGTGATTTCTCTTTTTTGATTCTTGTGAATGATGCTGTGGTAAATATTTGTATTCTGCCAGTTTTTATGTAAACGTATGTTTTCTTTTCTCATTGAATGTATACCTAGCTTTGGAACTGCTGAGTCATGGTATTTCTATGTTTAAACTTTTGAATAACTGCCAGATTATTTTCCAAAGTGGCAGCTCCATTTTACATTCCCATCAGGAGGGTATGAAATTTCCATTTCCTCCACATCCTTGCCAATACTCACTGTAATCTGTCTCTTTGAATATAGTCATCCTAGTGGTATGAACCGGTATCTCAGTGTGGTTTTGATTTGCAGTTTTCTCATGGCTAGTGATGTAACTTTTCATGTGCTTATTGGCCATTTGTGTATCTTATTGGGAGAAATACTTATTCAAATCTTTTCCCCATTTAAAAATGAAATTGTCTTTTTTTGTTGTTGTTGAGTTGTAAGAATTCTTCCTATACTCTGAATAGTAGACCCTTACCTTTTTCCCATTCTGTGGATAAAGGTTGTCTTTTCCCTTTATTGTTGGTGTCTATTGAAGTACCAAAGTTTTTAATTTTGATGAAATCCAGTTTATCTGATTTTTTTTTTCTTTTTGTTGCTTGTGCTTTTGGTATCATACCTAAGAATACTTTGTCTAATAACAAATCATGGAGATTTATTCTTCTATAGTTTTTAAGAGTTTTATAGTTAAAGATTTTTATATTTAGGTCTATAATCCATTTTGAGTTAATTTTGGGGTATGGTTTATATATTGTTTTTGCAGGACCATCGAATGTGTTCAAGATTGTGAAGATGATTATGGAAAGAAATTTTCAACCTGTAATTATTTTCAGTTTCAGTAAAAAGGACTGTGAAGCCTATGCACTTCAGATGACCAAATTAGATTTTAACACAGGTACTATATAATTTCAATATAGTTTTAATGTTATATGAAAATAAATATAAATATATTTTAGTTAGAAGATTAATCTGTTGTGATTAATCTATTATGTATTGCTAGGATATGTAGTTCACATTACAGTTACAGTAATGTACTCATTACATTTGTAAAAGTTTTAGGACCTTGTTTTATCATTTTCTTCTTTTCCTTTTGTTTTATTGGAAGGTATAAGTACATTGCTTTGTGTAAAATCCGAAGATCCCTACTGAAAAATATTAGGATCATACCCTCTTGTACTTCATTGCCATAAGCTCCTTTGTTACTGCCTTTATTACTGTGGCTCTCTGTGTGACGACTTAAGGCTAGGTTACTTGGTCAGATCACTTTCTGTATAGAAAGTACTATACTTCATTTTTCTAAAAATCCAAACCAGGAAGACCTGCCCTTTACCTAATTGTGGTATAACCTTTTAAATAAAGTAAGATAACTTGTATTAAATTAATAAATTTTTCCCACATATTATCTGTGAGTGTAACTCACTTAAAGTCACACAGCTAGCCTATCCAAAAATTCGGCATACTTTATTTTTTTATTTTATTTTTTTTTAATTCGGCATACTTTACTATATTATACCCATTTATTATTCAATTTATCTTTTTATGTATGTAATTCTGTATAATGAGAAGTAAATAATATCCTCAGTCATCCAAAATCAAATGGCAGTTGTGTTGGTTTCATTATCAAGGCACAGAATTAAACCCATGCATTTTAGAGCTACTTTTTACTTACCCATGAGCAAAGTAAAAACAGATATTCCACATAAACTCCTAAAGTTAGTAATATTTTATTTTTTAATTGAGTGAATTGCTCTGCTTAGACATGTTTCCTTATAACTACCAGTGCTGCATGGGGCGCCTGGGTGGCTCAGTCGTTAAGCGTCTGCCTTCGGCTCAGGTCATGATCCCAGGGTCCTGGGATCGAGCCCCGCATCGGGCTCCCTGCTCAGCGGGAAGCCTGCTTCTCCCTCCCCCACTCCCCCTGCTTGCGTTCCCTCTCTCGCTGTCTCTCTCTGTCAAGTAAATAAATAAAATCTTAAAAAAAAAAAATGTTTAACTACCAGTGCTGCATTTGCTTAATGTTACAAGGTCATATATTGATTAATTGAACAAATATTTATTGACTACCTATAATTTAATAGATGTTATACAAGAAGGCAGTATAATAGTTAAGAACATAGGCTTTGTTTGACATTGCTCCTCTAACAGTTAATAGCAGCCTCCATTATTTGCTATAAATCTCACTTTCCTCAATAATGGATAAAAATTATCCCTGTGATCTGTAATTGTTAGATGTATGGCACTTAGTATAGTTTTTGTTAATTTTATAAGATAATACTTTTATTCATGGATGAATTCTGTTAGATATGTTTTGAAAGGCAGTGAATTTTATTAAACAGTAATTTTTATCTATTTTGCCTTCTGTTTTAAATACTAACTCTACTGTTATTCTTTATAAACTTACATTCTTTGCAATCTGTGAAGCTTGGTATCACTGATTCACTTAGATATTTATGTACCCTTGAATTTTTTCTTAGATGAAGAAAAGAAGATGGTTGAAGAAGTATTCAGTAATGCCATTGACTGCTTGTCTGATGAAGATAAAAAACTCCCTCAGGTTTGTTTAGTGTCACTAAGTAAAATGTGGATATTAAGTGTGATAGCATATTTTTACTTTGCATTTCTTGGTTTCGTTACTATATATTGCATTGTTTACACACTGCAATAAATATGTTGCATTGTACACTAAAATGATACCTTGATTTATTTTTTAAATTTCTGAAAAGGTGACAAGAGGAAAGATGTGCTGCCTAAGGGAATTCTTCTCTGAAAGCTAACATGGTCTGGAAATTATTGCTTCTGTTCCTAATACTACAAAATTACTAATTTTAAGTCACTAAATTTCTTTTTTCTTTTTTTTTTTTTTTTTCGAGAGAGTGTGTGTGAGCAGGGGAGGGGCAGAGGGAGAGGGAGACAAAGAACCCCAAGCAGGCTCCACGCTCAGCACCCGACACAGGGTCCTGGGATCTAGTCCCATGTCAGGCTACCTGCTCAGTGGAGAATCTGCTTATCTCTCTCCCTCTGCCCTTTCCCCCTGCTTGTGCTCTCTCTCCCTCTCTCTCAAATAAATAAATAAAATCTTTGAAAAAAAGAAGTCAGACGCTCAACTGTCTGAACCACCCAGGCACCCCAAAGTCACTAAATTTAATTCATAAGTCTACCAAACAGAATACCTAATGAAAATCATGTGTTTAGTGAGGAATTTAATGTCTACTCTGCTTTTAATCCAGAGAATTTTTCCTTCGACTTTTGGAATTGCTTGGCGATTTCTAAAATATACTGATGACTGGGTACCACTCCCAGAGGTTCTGATTTAATTGGTCAGGTGTGTATTGTGGTCATTAGAATCTTTCAAAAGCTCTCCAGATGATTCTAATGTGCATCCAAACCTGAAAACTACTGTAGTGACCTAAGACATGAAAATTCTGTTTTGTGAAAAGGAAGTGGGAGGTTATACTCTGCTTACAAATGATTACTCTGATATATAAAGGATTTATGATAAAAATGCAACAGCATGTTTCTCAGTGTTTAAAATACTATTTAACTTGGAAAATTTTCTTGTAATTTTTCTTTCCAGCTGAATTATTAATATTTGAGGGCTAAGGCATGTCTTTACACATCTTTGTTATCCTAGCACAGTTCTAATAGTAGACATGTAATGGCATTTGATAATGTGTTAATGAGGATGAATTCCTTAGTAATTCATTTGTTTTTAGATGAAGTACATATTTATGTGACGTATGCTTTATACTTACTTGTTTTTAGTTGGAGCTGGCTAGTATTAAGTTTATTTTGTGTAGATGCATACTTTGCCCTCATTTCTATTTGTATTTGGGGAGATGAAGTGATGCTGGAGAATTTGAATGAGGCAGCAGTGCATATATGAATTTTATTATTTAAAGTATATCATATTAAGGAAAGCTAGGACAGGATTATTTTGAGTTTAATAATCTGTGGGAATATGGGTTTGGTTTTTGCTTTTATTCTGAAAAAGTTATAACATTTCTTTAAACAGCTTTTTATTGCCCATTTTTCTTGGTTTGGTTAGTTTAACATTTTCTCTTTCCCTTTTCTGTACATCACTGAAAAATAAACAATATTTCAATCACAGGTTGAACATGTACTTCCTCTTTTGAAGCGAGGGATTGGTATTCACCATGGTGGTTTACTTCCTATTTTGAAAGAAACTATAGAAATTCTCTTTTCTGAAGGATTGATAAAGGTATGATTTTATTTATTATGCCTTAGAATTGTGTTGTATGAATAGTTTGAAAATTATTTTTTTTTTTTAAGGAGGCTCCACACCCAACATGGGCTGTGAACTCATAACCCTGAGATTAAGAGGTGCATGTTTTATTGACTGAGCCAGCTAGGTGCCCCAACAAGTTGATTTTTATGTATCGTGTTATACTTCATACATTTTGGGCTGTAGGTAAAATATCATTGGGTTCCTTTCCTATAGTTAAAGTAAGAAATGGTAACACTGTACAGTGTGGAATTTGGAGAAGGTGCTGTTTAATTTTCAAAAGTGGAGTTGATTCTGAGTGGACTCCTGTCTGTATACAGATTAAAACGATTAGAGAAGACAAGGAGAATTGCCGGTAGTTATAAAAGAGCGTTTTTTAGGATGTGCTAATTTAAACCGCAGAGAGTCTAATTTAATTTTAAAGCTTATGTTGATGTCTGTACCCAGAAATGGGGTATTAAAAATGGGAAACTACTTCAAAATGTAGTTATAAGCCTATATATGATTTACAAATGATTTTATGTTTAAAAATCAGGTTAGAATTTTAAAAATCAGATATTATGAGAATCTGAGCACTAAATAGAATATTTAAAAGAAATTTACTCACTTTAAAGAACAAACTTGAGATATTTTAGATCAAGAATTGGTCACTATTTCTACCTAGGTCCTGATAAGGCCCTCTTGATGTTCCTTTATAGATTACTGTTGAGGCTCGTCTATGGCCATACCACCCTGAACGCGCCCGATCTCATCAGATTACTGTTGAGGCTCATTTTAAAGAATCTTTTCTTAAAAATTTAAGTGATACTTGGTGGTGGTAAAAGTCAAATAGAACAATTGTAAATAAAGTAAAAAATGAAAGACCATCATTCCTCTTCACTTCTCAGGAATACCCACTAGCAAACATACAAATAATACTTATTTTGTAAACAAAAAATTATACTACCCATGTTACAATCCAATTTTGTCATATATGTAGCTTTTCATTCTTTTTAGTAGGTGAATAGCTTTCTATTGAGTTGATGAAATAAAAGATGTTTTTATCTTCTTTCCTACTGGTGAAAATTTAGATTAATAGTACTTCAGTGATTTTACTTTGTGTGCTTAAGCCAGTTTTTTGTGTGGTCGATTTCTTGTTGGTAAAGTCTTACAAGTGAACTTAGCCACTGATTCTGTTCTCCCCTCAGAGATCCTCAGGGTAGCTCTAAAACTGTTGCATCATCAGGCAAAAAGCCAGGAAATACGACCTTCTGTGTTTAGAAAAGTAATCTACAGCCTCATGCTTTGTACATTAGATCAGTAGTATCCTCTTTAAGGTACTGCCACTAGAATTTAAGAAAGACTATTTTTCCTGAATTAAAAAATTTCTGGGATGCAAGGGACATTAGATATTTAGTAATTTTATATGTCAATACTGAATTATATCTGGAACTAGCATGTTATTTTTGCAGTCTCATTAACAACTAATTTTAAAATTAATGTTTTGTTTATACTTAAAGTACAAAACTAGTTTTTCAGCTTAATAAAATACATGTTTAATCATATAATTATTTAATTATTTAGGCCTTATTTGCCACAGAGACTTTTGCTATGGGAATTAATATGCCAGCTAGAACTGTTTTATTTACGAATGCCCGGAAATTTGATGGGAAAGATTTCCGATGGGTAAGTAAAATAATTAATATAATTGGAATAATTTTTACTTGTTTTACCTAACGTGATTTGGGCTTACATAATCTTTGAGATTTTCAGTTCTAAATAGTAAAGAACTTGTACCTGAACCAATAAACAAGTTCATCAAGGTTTAATTTTAGATCCGTCATTTCTATCCATTAGGGTTTTTTTGGTTTTGGTTTTGGAGGGGGGTTGGGTTTGGCTAACCCAAAAACAAAAATCTCCTTTGGTGAAAGAGTTTGATGATGAGGGTTAAGTGTGCAGATGATTTATGAGTGCTTTAAAGCATCTTAAATATATCTAGAGTGTTCATTTCTTTAAGTTTAGGCTATTTAAGGCACCAAATCTACAGTGGCTCCAGTTGCAGCTCACTATTTTATCTTTCAGGTTGAAAATAGAAGTTTTAACAGGTTTGCACATAATATCTTTTCTAAGGCAGAAGAAAGGGAGAGAAAGTTGGAATCATGGGTAAAACAGTGAATTTGGGTAGAAAGTAAATTCTTAATCCAGAGTCAATAACCCATTCAGTAAACAGTTACCAAATTTAAACTTTGTTAAAGTTAAACCCAATCTCTAAAGAAACTTAGTAGCAGATGAAAATTGACAGATGTGCAATAAAATGTTGCATTAATGATTCTGAGAAGCATGTACAGATGGATAAAGCATAAGAAAAGTCACTTGTATAAAAGGGGTCATGGAAGGAGGGCTTCATTGGAGAAGGCAGTCCTGAAACTGAGAAACAACAGCACATGGGTATTTACTAGGTAGACAGTAGAGCTTCACAGGGGTGAAAGCAGGTAGATTTCTACTTTGAGTATCCAGTGCAAGGCAAAGACTCGGTTAAACTGGCATTGGGAGAAATTTCTAAGTAGTCAGCTATCTACAGTTAATCTAATCCTTGAAAGTGGTGATCCTTTTGTACTCAAGAGAAGTTGCTGGCAGTAATTACTAATCATCAAAATACTGAAAAGCACTCATGGTAGAATTGTAAAGGCAAAGCATTTTTTCTTGATTTGTTTTATTTGAAAATGTATTGGATGCTATACAAAAGAGAAATATAAGTACAGTGAGGCAGCTGCCATTTCTCTTTAGAAATTTTTACATAGTCTTCAAAAATTTTCTGTAACCTGTAACTTTTTAAAATTGAACTTTTAATAATTTAATTCATGTAGAATGTGATTCCTGTTTATAACAGTTAAGTTTTATGTTTTATATAAAAATCTTTATATTATCTATCAGTTTAAAATTACTTAATTCTCCGAATAAAATTGATGCCATAAGAAAATAAGTAAATAAGTCTTTTGTGACTTTACATGCTTCTTGGCGTCCTCAGGACCTTGAGTAAGTCTGCAGAGTATAGTGGATAATTGAATTTAAGAAAGCAGACTTTTCTTGATGATTCAATATCATATTATTAAACCTAAAAGCCATAACGTGCCATAATGTTGTAATGATGCCCTTGGGCCCTTTTGAGGTTCTATTGCATTGCCTTTTTGAAATGTTCTTTTCAGATCTTTTTTTAGGTTTAGCTTTTTTTGTTGTTGTTTTTTCTAGTGCCTTTGTTTCTCCCAGGTTGTTATGTCTGTTTTTGATGCTGTCAGTAATACGCATTCTTGTAGCTTAACCTTCTTGTGTCAAATATTTTTTGGGAATCTGAAAACTGTGGACCCTTTCCATCAGAGAATAGTACAGAAGCACTTACAGATAAAACTTTTTCCAGTGTCGGGGCGCCTGGGTGGCTCAGTTGGTTAAGCCACTACCTTCGGCTCAGGTCATGATCCTGGAGTCCCGAGATCGAGTCCCGCATCGGGCTCCCTGCTTGGCAGGGAGTCTGCTTCTCCCTCTGACCCTCCCCCTTCTCATGCTCTCTCTCTCTATCTCATTCCCTCTCTCAAATAAATAAACAAAAAATCTTAAAAAAAAAACTTTTTCCCAGTGTCTTAGTGGTTGAATGTCACCCTGAAAAGGCTTACTAATCTTTTTTGACTAGGTTCTTCTTAGTGATGAATGGTCTCTACTGAACTCCAGGGATGTATACCAAGAAAATAAGAGAATTGGACTTTAAAAATAAAAATGTTTATTTTATATTAATCTCATTTTGCAAATTAAGAAAGTCTATTACGATCAAGTCAGAATTGGTATTTTGTAGAGTTTGACTCCTTCTTTGCTTTAGTGTTTTCCAGAACATCTGGCTCAAAGATATTTTATGTCAGTGAATTAACAGTCTTCCCTGTACCTTTGGTGTATTTGATCATTTTGGAGCTAAAATTTAGTTTTATAACATTATTCTTAAGTGTTTTTGCATTTTTGTGTTTTTACTTAAACCCCTAAAAGTTGATGTTTTTAGTCATATTTCCTTTTTTGGAATATATAACTTGTGCTTATGTATTTTGTGATAAAAATTTAAGAATATATTTTTCACAAGGTTTTCTCCTAAACTCTGGATTTTTAATTATCTTCACTCAGATTTCCTCTGGTGAATACATTCAGATGTCTGGTCGAGCTGGAAGGAGGGGAATGGATGATAGAGGAATTGTAATTCTTATGGTGGATGAAAAGATGAGCCCAACGATCGGAAAACAACTACTTAAGGTAACCGAGTTAAGATTCTGTGCTCTCACCAGCAATTTGAGACACATACTTCAGGAGCCACTTTGAAATTAGTTGTGTCAGTTCAGATATCTAAGTAGACGAGTTAATTAAACTATCTAGGCTTGAAAGGTAGAAGAGGGTAACTGCACAAAGTGCTGATATTTTGTACCCTACTTTCTGTTGTAATAAGTGAAGCGTAACTCATGAGATGAAGGGCATGTAAAGATCCCCAGAGAGGGCAGAAATGTTTACTTTGCCCTCCAAATTTACGACAATCTCTATAACTGCCTTCTCTACTGAACAAATTGGTCTTCCCCTATCATAATAGGAAGTAGGGCACATGATATCAGTGTTTTGGGCAGTTATCTTCCTCTACCTTTGCAAGCCCAGATAGCTTAATTAATTCTACAATCTGCCATTCTAATACTGCCTATTTGGATCATAAATATCCCAATAAATTAATTCAGATTTTTAAGCTTTATTTCAAATTAGCCTGTCCATTTTGCTTGTTTAATACTGTTTTTCAGATTGTTTTAAGGGTTTTATTTTTGTTTTGTTTTGGAGAGCTTTTCAGGGAAGTTTGGCCTGGTTGCTTTCCTTCTTCTCCATGCAGTAAGAAGTTTTTAAAACAAAGTCCTAGAGAAAACTCTTGGTAAGATGGGAAACTTAACATTATTTAAAAGTTGGGTGCCTGGGTGGCTCAGTCGGTTAAGCGTCTGCCTTCAGCTCAGATCATGATCCCAAGGTCCTGGGATTGAGTCCCACATCAGGCTCCCTGCTCAGCAGGGAGTCTGCTTCTCCCTCTCCCCCCTGCTCGTGCTCGCTTGCTCGCTCTCTCAAATACATAAACAAAATCTTTTAAAAAATTAATTACAAATTTAACTGCCAGATCATTAGCTAAAGAGCTCCAAAACATGTTAAGTCCTACATAGGTCAATATCTCTGAAACAGACTCTTCAGTTTCAAAGACTTGGGAACTGCAAGGAGAATTTGAGATATGGTTGTGGGAAGTCTGGTATGCTAAAGCAAAAATAAAAGTGTACGTTTTTTAAAATAGATGGTTAATGTGGGTAAAGACAAAGCTTGTCTGTACATATTCATAATGATCATATGGTGTCTTATTTTCACTTTTAAAGATTAACACTTGGAAACCTATTTTTAAGTGTCCATGTAACTTTAGTTCTTCATGTAAAGAAAATGACACAAGATTGAAAATTGGTATTTTTGGTCTTCAAATTGTGCCAGATATAATAAACACTGTTTTTCTTTCCTTGTGCTCTATGTGTGGAAAAAGTTGAGTCAGGTTGCCAATAGTAGGAGGTAATATTTTAATGATAGCTTCTGGTTTCCTTAGTACAGATATTTCATTCTATTTACTTGACGTTTCTGAATGTAAACTGTACCTGTTAAGTGTAAAAGTTCTGTTGTCTTTTATTTCAAAAATTTTATTGTGGTAAGAACACTTAACATGAGATCTACCCTCAACAGATTTTTAAATTATAAAATATGTTATTGTTGACTGTAGGTAAAATGTCATACATCATATCTCTGGATCTTATTTATCTTGCTTGACTAAAACTTTATGACCTTTAATTAGTAACGACCCTTTTATATCTCTCCTCAGTCTCTGGCAACCACCATTCTAGTCTTTGATTCCTTGAATTTGACTATTTAGAAAATTCATATAAGTGGAATCATGCAGTATTAGTCTTTCTGTGACTAGTTTATTTCACTTAGCGTAATGTCCTCAAAGTTCATGTTGTCACATATTGCAGAATTTTCTTTAAGGCTGAATTGTATTCCATTGTCTGTATATACCACATTTTTTTTTTTTTTTAAATCCATTCACTTATTGATGAACATTTAGGTTGTTTCCACATCTTGGCTATGTGAATAGCACTGCATTGAACATAGTGTTATTATCTGTCCAGTGTCTTGGTTTTGATTCTTTTGGGTAAATACCCAGAAGTAGAATTGCCAGATCATATGTAGTTTTTGTTGTTGTTGTTGTTGTTGTTTTCAATTCTTTGTGGGATATCCATACTGTTTTCCATAGTGGCTACACAATTTTACTTTCTGACCATCAGTGTGCAAGGATTCTGATTTCTCCATCATTTCTTAAATGAATTTTTAAAAACAGCTTTATTGAGATATAATTCATATTGCATACAGTTCACCCATTTTCATGGTTGCTAATATATTCACAGAGTTTTGCCACCATCATTACAATCAATTTTGGAACATTTTTATCAGCCCAAAAAGGAACTTTATATCCATTAACTATCACTCCCCATTTCCTTCCTAACTCTTCCTTTTCCCCAAAGCCCTAGGCAAACCACTAATCTCTTTGTCTCTGTAGATTTGCCTATTCTAGGCATTTCGTATAAATTTAGTCAGATAATACATGATCTTTTGTATTGGCTTTTCTTTAGCATAATATTTTCAAGGTTCATCCATATTTGTAATATGTATTAGTACTTCATTGCTTTTTGTTGATGAATGTTCCTCTATTGTGTTGACATATTACAAGTTATTTATCCATCTATCAGCAGATGTATATTTAGGTTGTTTGTACATTTTGGCTGTTGTGAATAATGCTGTTGTGATTGTTTCTTTACAGGTTTTTATGTAAACATGTTTTTATTTCTTTTGGGTATATACCTATGAGTGAAATTGCTGGGTCATACATAATTCTAGGTGTAACCTTTGAGGACCTGCTAGACTGCTTTTCATCAACAGCTATATACCATTTTTACATTGTCATCAGCAATGTATGAGGGTTCTCATTTCCCTGCATTCCAGCTAACATTTGTTATTATCTGTCCTTTTGAGTTGTAATCATCATCCTAGTGAGTGTGAAATGGTACCTTTCACTTTGAATGCTGTGTAGTTTGACTTGTTTAAAGGATATAGTACCTACCTGTTGATGATACTGCAATTATATAAGCAAATATGTGTGTATCTATATTTTTTGATTTCTAGATACATTTCTTTTATTGAGACTAACTGTACTACTATTTTTTTTGTCCTCTAGGATTTTTTCAGGTAGTTTTGCTATCATTAAAGAATTTGCAGGCAACTTATTCAGAAAAATAACAACTAATAGTTATAGAATATTCAACATGTCTTAAGGTTTGAAATAATTATTACTACTATCTCAGTTTTATAAATAAATAAGGCATACAGAGGTTAAAGAATTTTTCAAAAGTCATATCGTTGTTAAATAGCAAATCCTGATTTTAAAGTCACGCAGTCTGGTTTCAGAGTGCATGCTTCTAACCACCATGTGCTGCTTCTGCTCAGTACCTCATGCAAATAGATTTTTCATTTACTGGCTCAGACCGAATTTGGCTTGAAAGCACTTTGTTCTTTTGACATATTTCTTAATACAGTATATGAACTAATACATCATTATAACATCAGGTCTGTTTTCTTATAAGCGACAGTAATGAGATTTGCTCTTAAGTAATAGGACTTTAATAAATAGAATATTTATTTTCTCGAATAATAATTAAAATGTAGATTATTCATGTTATTGTATGTAAAAATAATTAGTATGCTTTGTACATTTGTAAAATTCAGATCTGTTTGTCATATCTAATAATTTTTCCTGTTGTTAGGTTAAGTAGTCATAGCCAGAAAAATGGCAGAATACATGTGTTTATTGCTTGTTGACTAAAGATTATTTGTTGAGGTTTCTAATATCTCAGCGTGCACACACACACACTTAAATATTTGTGTGTGGAAATCATTTAATGATCTTGCATTTAAAATATTTTAATAATTTTCTTTAGCTTCTTTGGCTTGACTAGTTTTCTACCAAAAATTATAAGAATCTATTCAACTTTTCCAATTCTGCTATTGTTACAGTGTCCTCTTTTTGTCTGTTTATCTAATACTTTCATATCCATTGCCTTTTTTAAAGTTGGTTTATTTACAGTATTGTCTACTCCCAGTGTGGGACTCGAACTCATGACCCTGAGATCGAGTCACATGCTTTTCTGACTGAGCCAGCTAGGCCCCTCTACATCTGTTGCTTTTTATTTATGGACAGATTTTCCATCTATTAGCTCACATAGAATTTGAGATAAGACAGGAGTTTGTTCTTTGGGTATATTTGACAGGAGCTAAAAAGCAAAATCCATTCATTATAACGTTTGCTTAAATGAAAAGTTGACTCAGAAAGTGTTTATAATAACCTTCCAAAAAGACTGGTGAATGCATCTTTTATTCTTCAGCAGTTAAGAAAGCTTTTACATCTCTCCAGTATTACCAGAAGAAATATGCCTTCCAATGTAGTGCCCATATTTTCAAAAAAATGTAAAACCATCACAGTACTTTGAGGACATGTTATTATTTGTTTTATCAAAATAAGCTTATTTCCATAATTTCTGAAATGATTAAATAAACTTAATGGTTTCTTACAGGACATGAAGTGCTTCTTCTAAGAGACTCTACAGGCTTTCTGCTTCTAGAAAGTTGTGTGTTCATTTCAACCTGAACTACATTCTTAATGGCTAAGGAAAATGAAACTTATTTGAAGGAAAAATAGCTTTGACTTTACTGGTTTTTTAAAAGCTTTTGGAACTTTAAGAAGAACATACCTATTCTCTTAAAGTTAGTGCTGTCACGTACTCAAGATTACTTATGGACCTTTTTTTGGAGAATTGAGAAGACTCACATTTGTCCATATGCTTCTGTCTTCCATTGTAACGATTCAAAATGCAAAAATATTTAGACTGGCAGTTTTTTAAACTGCTCTCTTGAATGAACCATATACTCTAAAACTTCAGAAATCATTAGAAGTAGAATAGCATTCAAAGGGTAGTATTACAAATCTGCTTTGGAAAATTGATCTGTTTAGCTCTCTGTCTTACTAGCTTTCAGTGAACAACTTGTCAACTAAAAGAATCCTTAAAAGTTTTTCTAGAATGAAGCTTAAGTTTAAAATCTTAGCACTGGCTGCTTTTGTTGTTCCAAGTTAAATATTAGGTGACCCTCTTTTGGGCTTTCTGTTGATATATCATTTAAAAATTTTATAATTTGGCTGATTAAATATATAAAAAGTTGAGTGGGGTGCCTGGGTGACTCAGTCGTTAAGTGTCTGCCTTCGGCTCAGGTCATGATCCCAGGGTCCTGGGATTGAGCCCCGCATCAGGCTCTCCGCTCCGCAGGAAGCCTGTTTCTCCTACTCCCCCTGTTTGTGCTCCCTCTCTCGCTGTGTCTCTCTCTGTCAAATAAATAAATAAAATCTTTAAAAAAAAATAAGTTGAGAAATACTTGATCAACATTTGAGGGTTCCTATAATTTTAGTAATGTGAATATTGAAAAACAGCGATGTGAAATAAGTTCCATTTTGAATTTGCCCTCTGGGAGAACTTCAACCCATGGATGCTGTAAAATTTATCTCCTACCTCTTTAGCCTGGGCAAGTCTCTCCACATCTCTGAACCTGTTTCTTGTTTAAGACAGTTTTGTTAGGAATATTGTGAATTCAAAATTTATTTAAGTATTAGTACAGTGATTGGCACACGCTTAGTAGATGTGGTCATTTTTAAACTTGGGGAATCTATTTACATCAGCCACAGAACAGTGAACAAGAGCAGCATTGACTCAATGGCACAGTACCTAATAACTCCAATTCAGGAAAATTTGGGATAATTCTAGACTAGATGATTGTGATTTAAGGCTTTATGGAGGAAATGGATCCCGCTGCAAGCCCTAAAGGGTTGGGGTAGGAGTGGGGATTGGATTTTGATTTCTAGAGCTGTAGTGATCTAGATCAGATTTGATGAAACTTTGAGGTAGATGATGGCAGTGGTAAAGAAACAAAAGAACTGATCTAAGATATATTGAAATAATCTGCAACCGTTGGTTGATTAAAATTTTAAAAAGGGATAAAGCAGAAGAAAGACCTAAATCGGAATTTAAATGTTAATTTCATTGTCCATTAATCAAATTAAAATTGAACTATCGTAAGTTTACTCCTTGCAGAGCCACAGAAATTACAGCAGGTGGGGTTGTCACACAAAGGATTTTATTTGCAGCAAATAGGGAGATCATAGGGAATAACTTCCAAAGTTGTGATTCTTGAGCAAGGGTGAATGGATTCCTTTCATTTAGGGTTAGGATGAATATTTAGTCTTGTCATCATGTGTGGAAGTAGGCATAAGGCACGCACCTTAATGAAACATTGCCTACACATACACTGTATGTTACATAAACGAAGCTTGTGTTCTTCCTTTGGCGGAGATTTTCGTATTAAAATGAGGTAAAGTAACTGTCCTTTGATTCATCTGTGCAGATGAAAGTCTGGGATTGAATTCAGACTGGTCTGGGTGGTGTGGGAGCTCCTCATCAGGGCAGTTGTTACTGCTTGAGGGGTAGTTTCGGTTTCCCTCGCAGGATGTTAGGCCTCACTTAAGAGATCAGCTAGAAGGAAGAGCTTAAGGGAGACTGTGGGACAGAGGTCATAAGAGTATAAGCAGGTAAGCAGTAAAGGTCAGGGCTTGGGGGTCTGGCTGGTGACAAAATCAGTAATCTCACTAACCATTAATCTTTGTAAGGGTGAAACCCAGGAATGGGAAAGAGCAAGAGAGATAAATTTCATTTTAGGTAATTTAGCCATATTATTATTATTATTTATCACCCAAATTAGGTTACTGTAGGAGTGGAAAGGGTGCTTTTAATAATTATACCAATACAGCAGATGTAGGTTGGGACTATCTTGGGCTCACTTAGATACAACGTCAAAATGCCAAGCTGAGTTTCAGGTAACTGAAAATTCCGAGGTGTATGCTACAGCAATCAAGAATACAGAAGCAGAGCTTGAGCTTAGAAGTAAACAGTGGTAATATGGAAGCCCCAAATTTCTGAGGAGGTAATAATACAAAAAAAATAACAGAAAAGTAAGGGCTGCGTCTGCAATATTGTAAAATAGCTGAAGTTGTCTTTAAATTCCTCTGTCCTCCAAGAATTTGGTTTTCATACTAACTTCACATCTCCCTTTGGCCTTATTTTCGAGGAAAGTTCATAAACATCAAGGTTTTAGGGACTTAGTAACTGTGCCCCTAAGGTGAATGGCTCTTAATTTTTCAGGAGTTAAGGAGTACTTTCATTTAAGACTGTGATGAAAGCTCTGCTTCTCATAAAATCGTGTATGTGTCCATTTAGAATTAGGCTGTCAGGTTGGTCTGTGGACCTCAATTTAAGAGCCCCTGACCACCCTAAGAGTATTTGTGTATTTCACTGTGCCATTTAGAAATACATAAGCATACTTTGTGACACTTAATTTCTAAATATTTCAGCGTGCATCTCCCAAGAATTTAGTTATTCTCCTATTGTAGCTGGGGCATAGAGGTGCAAGAGCATCTGGCTCTGGGGGGTCCCAAACAGAGCAGGTATAAATTCAAAAAGCAGCAAGTGGTGGTGAAACAAAAAAGGAATTTATTTCAGTCAGGCCAATACCAGGAAGACAGAGTACTAGTGTTTCAAAGACTGTCTCCAAAGTGCCGAAAATACTTCACAGGTTTATATAAGGAAAATGTGGGACAAAGAGTATGTGCAGGTGGGCATTGCAGGTTAAGTTATTCATCCTTTTGGGATTAGTCGAGTGGAGTCATTCTGGCTCAAGGAAGTCCTTGAGGGGGTAGTTTTGGTTCCCAGCAGGGGTGCTTTGTGCACAAGGTCTTTTGTTTGAGTTAAGAGACTCAGATAATGTAGATAAAGAATGGTCTAAATTCGGCGGGTGGGGAATGCTTCAGTTTTATATCACTCCAGGCAGCTGAGTTTTAAGGTGCTAATTTTTATCTAAATATCGTTCTGAAATGAATTTAGTGTACTCTGTCAGCACAGACTAGGTTATGCTGCAGTAACAAACCTAAATCTCAGTTACTTAAAGGTTTATTTCTCTTGTTCAATGCAGGTTTATAGAGGAGGTTGTGCTTATTCTTAAGGATGCAAGAGGATGGAGAAACCACCATCTTGAACATTAACAGTCACTGTGCCAGAGGGAAAAGATAGCTTTTCACACCAGCAATTAAATACTTGGCCAAAAAGTGACACATCATTACAATTTATTTGCCCCATCCATGGGGGGGTGGGGCAGAAAGTATAATCTTACCAAGTGCCTAGAAGGCAGAGAGCTAAACATACTTGGTAAACGGTATTTTAACTAGTACTGTTGTTTCTTAGTGGACTTTCTCCCTTCACTTTCCTAAAGATCAACTATTTATCACTTTGTATTGGTCATTTAAAAGAAAGAACTTAATACATTTCTATAGTATTCCTTAACATGGATTAAATTATTATTTTTTTTTAAGATTTTATTTATTTATTTGACAGAGAGATAGCGAGAGCAGGAACACAAGCAGGGGGAGTGGGAGAGGGAGAAGTGGGCTTCCTGCCGAGCAGGGAGCCCGATGTGGGACTCGATCCCAGAACCCTGGGATCATGACCTGAGCCGAAGGCAGATGCTTAACGACTGAGCCACCCAGGCGCCCAACATGGATTAAATTATTAAGCAGTTTTGGGATGCCTGGGTGACTCAGTCAGTTAAGCATCTGCCTTTGGCTCAGGTCATGATCTCAGGGTCCTGGGATCGAGCCCACATTGGGCTCCCCGCTCATCTCCCTCTCCCTCTGCCCTCCGCTTGTGCGCGCATGCACTCTCTCAAATAAAAATAAAATCTTTAAAAAGATTATTAAGCAGTTTAATAGGTATCTATGTAAATTTTATTTGAAAAAAATCACAACATTGACATGTTTTTTTTTTCTCTTAGGGCTCAGCTGATCCTCTAAATAGTGCTTTCCATTTGACCTACAACATGGTTTTGAACTTACTACGTGTAGAAGAAATTAATCCCGAGTACATGTTGGAAAAATCCTTCTACCAGTTTCAGCATTATAGAGCAATTCCAGGAGTAGTAGAGAGTAAGTATAAAATTACTATAACAGTCTTCTTAACCAGTAGAGTAAATAGCATAATTATTGCATTATTGGCTGCCTAGGGCATTGTTTATTTTTTGGTTAGTTATATCTTGATTTTTACATAAAGTAAGAACTGTGATCTGGTCATTATAACCGACTAGAACATTCTAAAATAAAAGAAAACCCTGCTAGTATACCTTTCTGTAGTTGGTTCAGATTTAATATAATTTATTGTTATAGGCATATTACATGATAGCTCATGTTCATGAGTCATGACATAACAAAAAGCCTGGTACATTAAAATTTGACCTGTAAGAAGCATGTGTGTATTCTTGCCCTTGTACTGTTTTCTCATTTTAAAAGAGTACCACAGCATAAGTTTATAAATAAGGAAATTTAATACTCTAACTGGGATTTGAGTTCAGCCTTTTTAGAATTTCTAGCTCCTATTATGATAATGCTTTCTAAAGTTCAGAAAGTGTTCTGTGGTAACTCTGTTCAAGTAGAATTGTGTATTGATCTTTACCTTAGAGAATACTTTGGCTGATCATCGTATAGAGCTGATTAAAATCTAAAACAGAGGCAAAGATTGAAAATACTGGTTTTGGTAGATCCTGTAAAAATAATGCATAGTCATTGTCAAGAAGAAAAACCAGAAAATTGAGCAAAAGATACAGGGGAAAGTTAAAATCATTTGTAACCTTTTTAAAGATTTTTTTTTTTTTTAAAGATTTTATTTATTTATTTGAGAGAGAGAGAATGAGAGACAGAGAGCATGAGAGGGAGGAGGGTCAGAGGGAGAAGCAGACTCCCCGCCGAGCAGGGAGCCCGATGCGGGACTCGATCCCGGGACTCCAGGATCATGACCTGAGCCGAAGGCAGTCGCTTAACCAACTGAGCCACCCAGGCGCCCCAATCATTTGTAACCTTATACAGAGCCAGCCACAACACTTCATAGTTCTAACTTTTTTCTTTCTCATACAAAGATTTTTTTTTTTTTTTTAATGTGGGATTAAATACATTCGTTCTCCCTTATCCACGGTTACGTGTTCCAAGATTCCCAGTGGATATCTGAAATCACAGATAGTACTGAACCCTATATATACATTTTTTTGTATACATACATACATTCTTTTGATAAAGTTTAATTTATAAATAAGCCACAGTAAGGGATTAACAACAGTAACTAATAGAACAATTATAACAATATATTGTAATAAAAGTTATGTGAATGTGGTCTCTCTCTCTAAAAATATCTTACACTGTACTCACCTTTCTTGTGATGACATGAGATGATAAAATGCCTACATAATGAGGTGAACTGAGGTAAATGACATAGTCACTGTGATGTAGTGTTAGGCTTCTGTTGACCTGACAGTATGTCAGAAAGAAGGTCATCTGTTTTTAGACTGTATTTGAACACAAGTAACTGAAACCACAGAAAGCAAAACTGTGGATAAGGGGGGAGGACTACTGTATACAGTTTTTATAAAAGTAATGATGGTACTTATATTAGTATCTTTTGTTAAATATTTACCTTATGGCTAGCCTTGTGTTAATACTTTACATTCATTACTAGCTCAATGATTCTAGCTTTTTAAAATTTAATCTGAAGTATCCTTTGAAAGTATGATTTTTATGATTACACAGTATTTCCATTTTGTAAATGTGCTATGATTTACTTAACAATAAAGGCAAATTTGAGATACTTTTCTGTCACAAGTGTTAGTACACTCAACTCCATTTTTATGTAGCTAAAAGTAAATGAATTATAATAATGGCCTCAAAAGAAAAAGGCTTAGAACATCCAAGTGTGTTAAATTTTTTTTTTCTTTTTCTTTCTTTTTCTTTACCCTTACCTGGATGATAGATCATAGTTATTTCCTCTTATATTAATTTCTCAGGTCTTAAGAGAGGCTTCTTCATTACAAACTATAGAGTTGGAAGGAGCTTTGGCATCATTTTACAGATTTTTTTTCTTAAAGACCTAGGACTCCCTCCTCCTTGAATCCCCACACCACTCATTGCTAAATGCTGTGGCTTCCCCTTCAGATTCTGATTATACCTTATCAGCCATGTAGGAACCAATCATTGGCAAATAACTGGAAGATTGAACCCCCACATACTTCATGTGTCCTGTCCTCAGCTGCCCCAGTTGCTGGCCACAGAGCAAATCTGGCTTTGGGTGATACCATTCCATGTCCTCAACCAGAGACACTGAGATAATAACTTTCCAAATACCGACTTACAAGATATGTATCACTGTAAAACAATATTTTGTCACCAGGCAGTGAACAAGGAGCAGTATCATCTTGTAGAAACCCGCAGCTTTGGTGCACCTTGATTTGGAGGAAATAGGCCTGGGCCCCTATCTGGAAAGCAGTTTGGAAACTGGGGGGAAAACTAGTAAAAAAGAAATGGAATCTTGATGAGCTGCCCAAATTTGAGAAGAATTTTTATCAAGAACAGCTTGATTTGGCTAGATGCACAGCACAAGAGATGGAGACATACAGAAGGACTAAGGAAATTACAGTTAGAGGTCACAACTGCCCAAAGCTAGTTCTGACTCTTTATGAAGCAAACTTCCCTGCAAACGTAATGGATGTGACTGCAAGACAGAATTTTACTGAACCTTCTGTTACTCAAGTTCAGGGTTGGCCATTGCTCTAAGTGGATTGGATATGGTTGGAGTAGCACAGACTGGATCTAGGAAAACATTGTCGTATTTGCTGCCTGCTGTCATCCACGTCAGTCATCAGCCATTCCTAGAGAAAGGTGATGGGCCTCTTTGCTTGGTGCTGACACCAACTTGGGAACTGGCCCAACAGGTACGGCAAGTAGCTGCTGAATACTAAAGAGTATGTTGCTAGAGGTCCACTTGCAACTATGGTGGTGTTCTCAAGGGATCACAAATTTGTGATTTGGAGAGAGGTGGAAATCTGTATTGTAACACCTGGAAGACTGATTGACTTTTTAGAGTGTGGGAAAACCAATCTGAGAAGAACCATCTACCTGTCCTTAATAAAGTAGATAGAATGCTTGATAGGGGCTTCGAACCAAACAAGGAAGATTGTGGGTCCGATAAGACCTGATAGGCAAACTCTAATGCGGAGTGCAACTTGGCCAAAAGAAGACAGACAGCTTGATGAAGATTTCCTTAAAGACCACATTCACAGAAACATTGGTGCACTAGAACTGAGTGCAAACCACAGCATTCTTCAGATTGTGGATATGTGTCATGATGTAGAAAAGGATGAAGAACTTACTCATCTAATGGAAGATATCATGAGTGAAGAGTAGAATAAAACCATTGTTTTTGTTGAAACCAAAAAAAGATGTGATGAGCTTACTAGAAAAATGAGAGATGTGTGGCCCACCATCGGTATTCATGCTGACAAGGGTCAGCAGGAGCGTGACTGGGTTCAAAATGAATTCATAAATGGATAATCTCCTATTCTGATTGCTACAGATGTGGCCTCAAGGGCTAGAAGTGGAAGGTGTGGAATTTGTCATCAGTTATGACTACCCTAACTCCTCAGAGGATTATATTCATCGAATTGGAAGAGCTGCTTACAGTATCAGAACAGGCACAGCATATACTTTCTTTACACCTAATAACTAAAACAAGTGAGCAATCTTATCTGTGTTTCATGAAGCTAATCAAGAGCAGTTAATCCCAAGTTGATTTAGTTTCTCAAAGACAGAGGTTCAGGTTGTTCCAGGGGTGGAGGAGGCTTGAAGGATGACCATTGGGACAGATACTCTTTGGGCAAAAGGGCTGGATTTAATACCTTCAGAGACAGGGAAAATTATGACAGAGGTTACTCTAGTCTGCTTAAGAGAGATTTGGGGGGAGAAACTCAGAATGGTATTTGCTGTGCTGCAATTTATACCAGTCAGAGCTTTGGAAGTAATTTTGTGTCTGCTGGCCTAGAGACCACTTTTAGGACTGGTAATCCAACAGGCACTTAACAGAATGGTTATGATAGCACTCAGCAATGTGGAAATAATGTCCAAAGATGCACAATGGTATGAACCAACAGGCATATGCATATCTTGCTACTGCAGCTCTGCCTATGATTGGTTATCCAATGCCAACAGGTTATTCTCAGACTTTAGAAGTAAATGTCTATTTTTCATAACTGCTCTTTATATTGTAAGTTATTAGACAAGATATTTAAGAAACATGGGAAATACAAAAATGTCTGCAATGCAGCAGTAATTATGGTGTACTTCTTCATTATTTAAGTTGGATATTTCTCTCCATTCCTGAAATAACTTTTAGGTCCTTTTTTGTATTAGAAAATGCAGGTAGTCTTTTCACAAAAGTAAAAGTACAGTGATTTGAAATACAATAAATAAAGGTAACACATGGACTTCCAGTAAAAAATAGGTGAAGACCGAAAAAAATAATAAATAAAGGCCTAGGGAAGTTAAGTCAAATACATCTTATAAAATTAATGGCAAATGTGTAATTTCAGATTACCTGTATTATTTTCTTGTATAGTGTTTGATGCCATTTGTCTTGGTGAATACCTATGGCCTTAGCAAAGAAAAAGAAATGATTCTTTTGTCAAGGAACCGTATTTTTTATTTATTTATTTTTAAAGATTTATTTATTTCAGAGAGAGAGAGCACATGAGCACAGGGGGAGGGGCAGAGGGAGAGGGAGAGAGAATCTCAAGCAGAGTCCACAATGAGCATGGAGCCCAGTGTAGGGCTCAGTTCCAAGACCATGAGATCACAATCTGAGCTGAAACCAAGAGTTGGACACTTAACTGACTGCACCACTCAGGCGACCTGGGGAACCATATTTTTTAAGGGGCTATAAATCTCTTTCTCCTGCAAAAAAAAAAAAATATAGTAATAGAATAAAAAAACAGTATCAACAAGATTTAAGTGCATTGTGGATTTGGGTGTGAATTAAAGTATTTTAATCAGATTAGTAGTAAAAAGGAAATCTGTTAATTTTACCTCATAATGTCGAAATTTCAGATGCTGTCATTGAAACACAAGGTTATAAACCAGCTTAATTTTTTTTTAAGATTTTATTTATATTTATTTATTTGAGATAGAGAGCGGGGGAGAAGCAGAGGGAGAGGGACAAGCAGACTCCACACTAAGTGCAGAGCCCAACGCGGGGCTCAAACCCACAACCCTGAGATCATGACCTGAGCCCAAACCAAGGGTCGGATGCTTAACTGACTGAGCCACCCGGGCACCCCAAATCAGCTTGATACTTTAAATAAAAGATTTAAACTTACAATATTGCTACTAAGCAGTTAGCACTGGGTCATGCATCACTAGGGTAATTATACACACACACAGCCAGCAGTTAGACTGGTTTTGTGGCTGAATAAGAGAAATAGGATGCACATTGGTGTACCAACCTTGATTCTTTTTCTTCTTTGTAAAAATAGTGTATTCTAACAACCAATAAATTACTGTTTAAACTTCACTTTATATTATTTTTCTATAATTCCATAGAAAATATCCCAGATATGGTTGGGGATAGAGCGAGAAATAAATATTTTCCCGTTTATTTAAACCATTGTTTTATGACTTCTCACTGGACTCAAATTCTTAAATATGACTTTGACAAACACTCTGCTACCTATTCTGAACTTAAACATTACCATCATTTTCCATTCCCCTGTCCTCTGTCTCTCCAATCCCCAGCTGCTGCTATATTCAGGGTGGCTCTGACTGACTTAGATTTTAAAGGGATTGTGAATAACATAATCTGCACTTCCTGGTACTGCTACTATCCACTTGCTTATTCTTCTTGAATTATCCCTGCTTTCCCTACCCATGTTTTTAAAGGGCAAAGACCTTTTGAAGCTCATAAACAAAAAAATGAAATGTCAAATGTAGAACAGACATTTTAATGGGAAAAGGTAGAAATTTAAATGATGAAAGAGGGGCGCCTGGGTGGCTCAGTCGTTAAGCATCTGCCTTCGGCTCAGGTCATGATCCCAGGGTCCTGGGATCAAGCCCCGCATCGGGCTCCCTGCTCAGCGGGAAGCCTGCTTCTCCCTCTCCCACTCCCCCTGCTTGTGTTCCCTCTCTCGCTGTGTATCTCTCTGTCAAATAAGTGAATAAAATCTTTAAAAAAAAATGATGAAAGAATTGATGAAGGAATTGCACCATCTTTACTACAATTTGCAGGACTGAGTGGTATGACCAGAGTCATAATAGTGTAGAAGGAAATGGTTAGAGGTGATAAAGGCTATCCTGCGTGCTTTAAAAATGCAGAATACATATTGAATGCAGTTTATTCTCATTTTTAGTTATTATTAGTAAGGGTTTCATTCTTTTTGCTGTTGATACTGCTAGAACTTTTTCAAGAGAGCTGGTATTATTTTCACATTAGTATATCCAAATTAAAATGTAGACTGTTTTCTTTGGAAGTATAGAATTAATCTTTATTTTATAACTTACAGTGCTTTATGTTTTGTAACAAACTTAGATGGCTGGCATACATGAGATGTTTTTCATTTTTTAGATTTTCCAGTGAGCTATAGAGTAAAACTTAGAGGATTTCACTGTTTCCATACTGAAAGGAAAAATGCAAAGTTAATTTTAATCTTTAGTGTCATTAAAGGTAATACCATGGTTAATAGCAAGAGCTGTGAAGTTAAACATGGGTTTGATTTAAGACTATCTGAGCTTTAGTTTGCTCATCTAAACTGCTGGGATAATAACTAGTTCATCCAGTTCATGAGAATTAAATGAGGTAATTTATGTTAAATGGTCACTGAGTACTTGTTTCAACTACTGATAGTATTGCTGTAGATCAGTAAAGCCATTTAAACTTTAACCTGTTAGAAAATTTGCTCAGTACTGGGAATAGCAGTCCATTTTCCCATCACTCCCAGGTCTGTATCTGTGCACATGTTATATGACATTAATATATCTTTGGAACCACCACCTCTCCTGTCCCTCAGAAAGAGGAAATTGTTTGCAAACTCTCTTAAGAGTTTATTGGAGTATCTCTCACATGCTGTTTCCTAAGATATTGAGACTTTCCTGTGGTCTACACTACAGTGAAGCCAGCTTCTTATACTCAGGTTCCTCTACTATTTGATTGACTGCACTTACTTTCTGCAGTTGTATAGAGCTGTAGTTAGAATCCTAGGTATAAAATACATGTGACTTCTTAAAATGTCTCAGACTTTTGACTCATTAATAAAATGGTCTGAGCACAGAAGTGATTTGGAATAGAGGATGGGGAGCAGTATTTAAGCATCCAAGCAGATGTTTATAGTCTCCCTAAACTCCTGTCAGTGCTTATTGTTTCACTGATTCCTGCAAACCGTGTTACTCTGTAATTTAGATGGGGCAGCAGTATTAATATTTCTTTGTAGTTTTCATTTCAAAACTTCTTACTGACTTTAGTCTGTCCAATATTCTTTTATAGTTTTCTAATTGTTTCTCTTTTTGGTAATGTCTGTTGCCATAATATGTGTTAAGAATAGCTTTCTAGTCTTCAGTGAATGGATTTCATTTCCTATAAGAAGACTTGCAGTTCATTTAAGAATAATCAAAATAATGTATTATGCCTGAGGGAATGCAAAAAACCAGAAGTTTGAGGGAGCAGTCTGTGAGAATGTTGAAGATGATAATAAAAATAATAATAAAACAGTTGTCATATCCTCCCTGAATGTTTACTCTGTGCTATACTCTTAGCTAAGTACTTTCCATATCTTCTGTCAGTTAATCTCTAATTATAGTCTTAGGGAGTATGGGTATTTTTGTTATCTTAATTTTGTGGATAAAGAAACTAAAACACAGATTTAATGGAGGAGTTTGATCAATGGAATAGAATTGAGAGTCTAGAAGTAAACCCATACACCTGTGGTCACTTGATTTTCAACACATGCTCTTGGGGCAGTGGGATAGCCATATGTAAAAGAATGAAATTGGATCCTTACCATATATTAAAATTAATTGAAATTGAATGAAAGTCCTAAGTATAAGAGCTGAAACCACAAAACACTTAGAAGAAACCATACATATAAATCCCTATAACCTTGGATTTGGCAGTGGTTTCTTAAATAAGGCACTAAAAGCACAAGCAACAGAAGAAAAAGTAAATTTGATTTTATGAAAATTGAAAACTTTTGTACCTCAGTAGATACCAACAGAAAGTAGAAAGCCCACAGAATGGGAGAAAATAATTTGCAAAACACATATCTGATATGGGTCTAGTTTCCAGAATATGGAAAGAACTCTTAAAAAACAGACAAATAGTCTAATTTTTAAATGGACGAAGTATTTGAATAGATTTCTCCAAAGAAAATAAACTGTTAGCCAACAAACAAGCACATGAAAAAGATGCTCAACGTTCCCATTCCTGGGTCTATAACTAAAAAAAAGAAATTTTCAAACAAAAACATGTGCATCAATGTTCATAAAAACACTATTCACAGTAGCTGAAAGGTGGAAATAATTCAAAGTCCATCACCTGGTAAACAGATCACTGAAATGGTATACCCAAATAGTGAAATAATATTCAGCCATAAAAAGGAGTGAAGTACTGATACATGCTATGCTGCTATCACATGGATGAACCCCAAAAACATGCTCAGTGTAGGAAGCCAAACACAAAAGGCCTTGGTATACTGTGATTGCATATATATGAAATATCTAGAGTAGATAAATCCTTACAGATAGAAAGTAGACACAAAGGTTGTCAGGGGCTGAGGGAAGGAAGAAATGAGTGTTTGCCCAGTGGATATGGAGTTTCCTTTGGAGCAATGAAAATATTTTAGAACTATGTGATGGTGATAGTTGCATAAGTTGTGAATGTACTAAATATATTAATGATGAGTTTTATGTTTTGTGTATTTTACTCCAGTTGAAATAGTGTTTGTTCACAATGGGATGGAGGCATAATGAAATGAGTGAGGAAGGGAAGTCAGCAAGAATTTGACAGGAAATGCTATCATAGATGGTTAGATGAGCTAAGAGAAAATTTGGGGAAAAGAGCCTATGTTTTGGCTGTTGACTGAGTAGAGAAAGAACTGTAGTTGAATTGCCTGTTCTCAGTTTTAGCGACCTAGACCCTGATGGTGGTGGAGGTCTCATGACAGTAGCAAATTGGATTCTTGATGAAATTTAAAGCAACATATTACTTAAAAGGTCCAAAATAGTTCTGTCTAAAGGGACTTTCTGCAGTGGTGGAAATGTTCTGTATCTGTGCTATTCAAGTCCAGAAGTCAGTAACCAGCTGAGTTACTGACAGTTGAGTATTTGAAATTGTGCTAGTGCTATTGAGGAGCTAAATATTTAATTTTCATTAATTTTAATTTAAATAGCCACATATGGCTGGTGTCTGCTGGTAGTATATTGAAAAAAAGCTGACCTAGCACGTTTCTACCATTACAGAGAGTTTTATAGTACAGTGCTCTGTTGAACAATGTAGGCCTAGAATTCTTAATTAGTTAATATCCTCTCCCATGTCTATAGGAGAGAAACAACTCAGCAGATATGATCATTGCCAATTCAGACTCAATTTGAGGATTCACAATTAGTGAGTTGGGGGACTTTAATGTAGAACCTTAATGTAGAAAGAAAAGACTCACGATGATGTGCAGTTATCTCTGAAGTTTTTCCACAAAATTTCTAATCTATGCAAGCTGACTTTGTTTCCTACATTTGTAGTAGGAAAACAGATGTATCTTTGTATAATTTTACATAAAGTATTTTTTTAATACTTGTGTTTTATTTACAGAGGTAAAGAACTCAGAAGAACAGTATAATAAAATAGTAATACCAAATGAGGAAAGTGTCATTATTTATTATAAGATTAGACAGCAGCTTGCCAAACTGGGTAAAGAAATTGAAGAATACATTCATAAACCAAAGTATTGCTTACCATTTCTACAGCCAGGTCGTTTGGTAAAGGTATGTCATTTTTGGGTGAAGATGCTAATTGTTGTTCTATAATAATTATATTGTTTTACACTGTTCACGTGGAATTGATTGGGGGTGGGATCATGTGTGAAGACCTTTTAATCTCCACTGATTTTCATTTTGGGGGATATAAATTGAAGGAGACACTTTTGGAATTGACATATAAAATATCTCCAGTTATGAAATCAAAAAATAGAAGCAGTTTTAAGCCCTGGATGAATTCATTAGCTATAAAATATTAAAGATTTCATATAGTCTCAGAACAGATACGTCATATCATTTTAGAAATTTGTTTGCCAACGGAGATATTCCTATTGTTGCTGTTTTAGAGGCCTATGATAGTTGGTGATTTTTTTTCTTTGGGGTTAATATCTTTTTCCTTAAGTTTAACCAATCTTTCAAAAAATATTTTACCAGGAAAACTCAAAGTTTTATTAGCCTATAATGTGGGCAAGGAAGTCTATAAAATTGCCTTTTGAACATAAATGTTTTTATTTACTTGCTTCCCTTTCTTTTTAGGTAAAGAATGAAGGAGATGATTTTGGCTGGGGAGTAGTGGTAAATTTCTCAAAGAAGTCAAATGTTAAGGTAAACCATTGCCCTTAAGGTAGAATCATATATAAATTTCTAGTAAAAAGTTTTTTCAGACTCATGAAATTGATCAAAGTAGAAATAGCGTTACAGTAAGAGAAGCTATAATAAATTCTGCCATAAGGAATTACATTTTTGAATAATCTTAAATTTTGTCTTCAAAGTGCTGTTATTTTCCAAACAACAAATTTTAATTTCATGACAGTTTACATGTCTTCTTTGAATTCATCAGTACTTTTTATAATTTTACTCTTTAAATTGAATATTAGAATTAGTTTCTGATAGGGAAAACTAGAATTTTGATTTAGGTATATAATAGTTGAAGAAAAGGTATTAGAACTAGTTAGGTTTTACTTACTCTCTCTAAGGGAAAACAGTAATAAAGTTGGCTTTGATCATTATTTATATAAATATTTTGAAAAGATTATGTGTAAAATTAAGGAAGATTTTGTTACTGTGTTAGATGAGTGACTATCTTGAAATTAAGTTAGCCACCCTGTGACATTTTGTCTCCCAGTATGTGACCTCAGGCAGCATTTTGTATCTCCATGTATATTTTTCTTTATCTTTAAAAATGAATAGTTTGCAGAGCACCTGGGTGGCTTAGTACATTGGGCATCTAATTCTTGATTTCAGCTCAGGTCTTGATCTTGGTCGTGAGTTCAGGCCCCACACTGGGCACCATGCTGGGTGTGGAGCATCCTTAAAAAAAAAAAAAAAGAACAGTTTGCATAAGATATCTGCATTCTCATAAGGTTGACCATGTCATGATTTTGTTGTCATTAACTTTGTTCCATCTGGGTATAGAGCAAGTAGGAATTAAGCTTTGGGATTGGAAGTTACTCCTGAAATACGTAAATGAATTTAGAGATAATGAAGCCATTTGTTGGGAGAAACAAGTTCATAGGTTTGGGGGCACCTGGGTGGTACATTCCGTTCAGCATCTGCCTTCAGCTCAGGTCATGATCTCAGGGTCCTGGGTTCAAGCCCCGCATCAGGCTCCCTGCTCTGGGGATTCTGCTTCCCTCTCTCCCTCTGCCCCTCTCCTGCTTATGCTCTCTCTCTCAAATAAATAAAATTTCATAGGTTTGTGATGGCTGTTTTGGTGAATGATCTGTGATTAATCCCACTGAGGAACTTCTTAAGGATATTTAGTTTGTTACTACTATTTTGATACATTACCATCTTCATTAGTAATTATAAGATTTGTTTTTTAAGTATTGTCATACTTGTTATCTCATTTGATCCCAATTTAATAAGCGTTCATTGACCACAGACACAAAATCTCTGTGCTTACTCATTTGATGAATAGCAGAAAGCAGATAATGAAAATAAAAGGCAGAATAGTATAAATACTTTAGTAAAGATATAAGTAAAGTGCATTTGGAGCACAGAGGAGGAAGAAATTATGTCTGAGCTATTAGAGATGGCATCTAATTAGGAAGATAATTTAAAATTTTTAAAGGAACCTTGGAGAATGAGTAGCATTCATTTGATGGAAATTTACTGCTGGAGGAGCAGCGATATGCAGCAGGCCCAGAACATTTCAGGTAAAAAGTGAAATCTTTTAGAAATATTGAAGTTAATCACAAAAAATGGTTAAAATACGGATTTGAGTATATTCAGTCTAGGTATCTAAACATGTGAAAGCACTGGTAGGTGTTCGAAGATTAGTTGGTTGATTGGTTTGCTTGGGTTTAGTTTGGTTGTTTGCTTTTTTAATCTGTTTATTTTTGAGGAAGAGATTGATCTGATCAGAAGTTACTGTATTGACAGTGTTTGAAGGATATTGAAAGAGATAGCATAATAGATACAAGTTTGTCAGTTAAGGAGACAAGTCTTTTTGGGTGAGTCGGAAGGAAGATGGTAATAGAATAAGGGTTCAGATGGAGGATACTGAAGAACTAGAATGGACAGTCTTGTTGGGAAGTTGGGGGGAGCTTTAGTGATGATAAGATTTCAAACTTAGGTATGTGAAAAGTTGGCTGTATTGAGCCAACAGTATTAAACTGGATAAAGTTTGCCTCTCATTCTGTGTGTTCCCCCCCACCACCTTATTTTAAATATACAGTGAAGTAAAGCTTGGAATTTTAACCTTGACGAAGATTGCATGGGTATTATTCCTTTGAGCCTGACAAGAACTCAGATATGACTTACAGGCTTTTATATTTTCTATTTCACCACCTTTAGCCATGGGAAAACTATAAAATGCTTGCCTACCTCTTCTCCCTTCCAAAGACACACACTGTTTTCTTTTGGAATAATTATTAGTAACATAGGTATGATCTTCCTTGAGAAGAACTTGAAAGGATAGTCTTCATTTAAACTTCTGACAGCTATTAAGTTCTGTTTTTCGTGTACAATGAAAAGTGTGGCCGTAAATGCTAAATGTTGTGGTTCCATTCATACTTATATAACCCATGGTGGAAAAGCCTTTGCCAGTTTACTCATTCCATAACTTGTCTGTATCTAAGAGAGTATTGCTAGGGCAGAATATTTTTACTTGTAGTGTACTGAATCGCTATATATTTCTTTCACTGCAGGTTTTACATTACTTATACGTTTGTTTTTTCAACAGTTTTACTGAGATATTATTTATATACTGTACTGTTTAGTCAGTGACTTTTAGTAAATTCACCATCACCACAATCGATTTTAGAACATTTTCATCCTCTCAGAAGGAAAAGGAAACTTTTGTCATTCCACCCTGTGCTCCCATACCCTCAATCCTGAACAGCTACTAATCTACTCTCTATAGATTGCCTATTCTGAAGATTTCATAAAATTGAATTGTGATATGGTGTTTTGCGACTGGCTTCTTAGCATGTTTCCAGGCTTTAAGCATGTTGTGTATATTAGCACTTTGTTCTTTTTTGTGATTGAATAGCATTCCATTGTACAGATACATGACATTTTGTTTATCCATTCATGAGTTGATAGACATTTGGATTGTTTCTACCTCTGGGCTATTATGAATAATGCCCCTATAAACATCGATGTCTGAGTTTTTATGTGGACATAGTTTTCATTTCTCTTGGGAGTGAAACTGGATCCTGTGGGGATACCATATAACCATTTAAAGAACTGCCAGGTTGTTCTCTAAAGTGGCTGCACCATTTCGCATTCCCATTAACAATGTATGATGGTTTTTATTTCTTCACATTCTCACCAACACTTAATATCTGACTTTTTGATTACACTCAGTATATAGTGGTATCTCATTGTGGTCTTGATTTGTATTTCCCTGATGACTAATATTGCCAAGGATCTTTTTATGTGCTTATTGGCCATTTGTATATTCTTTGGAGAGGTGTTTTCAGCTCTTTTGCCCACCCACATTCAAATTGAGTTGTCATTTTATTACTAAGTTATATGAGTTCTTTATGATATTTGATTTCCAGATATTTATCTCCCATTTTGTGGATTATTTTTACTTTCTTAATAGTGTCCTTTGAAGCACAAGTTTTTAATTTTGATGTAATTCAAATTAAATCTTTTTTTTTTCCTTGTTACTCATGGTTTTGATGTCATATATAAAAATTAACTGCCAACATCAAGGTCATGAAGATTTACCTCTGTGTTTTCTTCTAAGACTTTTTTTTTTTTTAATGCTACCATGCAATGAAACTTTCATTAACATTTTGAACAGCTATTGAGAAAACCAGTGATTCAGCTATTACTGAAACTGGTAATTTCTAAACTTAAATTGGGGCAAATGGCTATAGTGCACAGCAATGCCATCATTGGGCACTATGAATTCAAGACTGAAGAATTAACAGCCACCCCTCAGGTGGAGAACCAGGTGGAGAGTTGACTCTTTCTGGATATTGTAATCAGAAAGAGTGCGGCCATCTTCCATCTGCTTGCTGGCAAAGATAAGCCTCTGCTGGTCAGGGGGGATGCCCTCTTTATATTGGATATTCGCCTTCACATTTTCAATGGTGTCACTGGGCTCCACCTCCAGGGTGATGGTCTTGCCGGTTAGGGTCTTCACGAAGATCTGCATGCCACCCCTCAGGTGCAGAACCAGGTGCAGGGTCGACTCTTTCTGGATGTTATAATCAGAAAGAGTGCGGCCATCTTCCAGCTGCTTGCCTGCAAAGATGAGCCTCTGCTGGTCAGGGGGGATGCCCTCTTTATCTTGGATCTTGGCCTTCACATTTTCGATGGTGTCACTGGGCTCCACCTCCAGGGGGATGGTCTTGCCGGTTAGGGTCTTCACGAAGATCTGCATTTTGACCTGTTAGTGAATGCAAGGACACTGGATGCAATCACGTCGAGTCACCCAGATGCCAAGACACCGACACCTGACAATGCCAGCCGCTCTTCTAAGAGTTTTATAGTTTTACCTATTATATTTGGGTCCCTGATCCATTTTCAGTTAATTTTTGTATGTGGTATAAGGTAAGGATCCAGCTTCATTCTTGTCCTAGCCCTGGTTACTGGAAAACTCTTTCCTCATTAAATGATCATGTCATCCTCGTCAAAACTCAGAAGATCGTAGACTTTATTTTAGACTTTCAGTTCCATTCCATTGACCTCTATGTCCGTCCCAGTGCCGGTACCATATGGTCTTCATTTACCATATCTTTGTAATTAAGTTTCAAAAAAATAGATTTATGAGTTCTCCAACTTTGTTCTTCTTTTCAAGATTGTTTTGGCTATTCTGGGATCCTTACAGTTTCATATGAATTTGATTATCTGCTTGTCAGTTTTTACAAAGAAGTCAGCTGGGATTCTGAGAGGGCTTACACTGAATCTGTGTATCAGCTTGAAGAATATTGCTGTCTTAACATAATTGAGTCTTTCAGTCATGAACACAGCGTGTTTTCCCTCATATTTACAGACTTTTTTTTTTTTTTTTAAAGATTTATTGAGAGAGAGCGCACGCAAGCTTGGGGTGGGAGGCAGAGCATACTCCCCGCTGAGCGAGGAGCTGGACATGGGGCTCCATTTCACAACCCTGAGATCATTCATGACCCTCGCTGAAGTCAGGA